CATTTTTGACCAGGAACACCACAAGTGTGTCTTTGTGCCATTTTGTACAAAATAAAAGGCTTTCAAAACAGACTCCCTGATTAAACATTAAAGTACACTAGTGTGATAAACAGTACAAATTTTCATCAGTTTCTATTTAATGTTGTGAAAATTATTCATAAATAATGCTTTTTTCACTCAAAAAATGAGGTGCCTACTCTCAGATAAATGAGGCCTACGATTAATCAGATGCAAATATAAATACAAAACCAGTCCTAAATGAAAGAAAAGAAGTTGACAAAAATTGAATCCAATATTTGGTGATAATATAGCATAATGAGTGATTTATAAGCAATTTTTTGAGGCCGAGTCCTTTTTGCTCTGTAACATCGTAAGTGTGAAAGGGTTCTGAACACAACACAAGGGTTAAATTAAATTAAATTAAACAGGGGAAACTCTCAACAGGAAGGCAAACAGATTCAATAATAACTTACCGGAATAAAATCATTTTTCTTTAGTCTGACCACATCACCAACTTGTAGGTTCATCCATCTGGTCTCTACAAACCTGACAAATGAGAATTCACCTCTGGGCATTAATTTCAAAATGTTTATGTAATATTTTTTTCACTGACAAACATGAGCACTATTCTCATGTGCTTGAGTATTAAAGCAGACTAAAGTTCATCATCACCTGCCATTGAGCAGCACGTCACACCTTCTGTTGTTGATTTCTTTGTCCATCCTGTGTCGTGCCTTACAACAAGAGACGCAGATCAGATGACAGAAACTATTAGCACATCATGTCAATTAATGGCTACCTTCATCAGAAAACATGTGCAGAGTCTCACCAGGTCGTCCACCAGGTCTTTAATGGCGGTGATGCCCAACACCAGCACTAACGGCACCAGGGTGGTGTACCACGGCAGCGTGGAGATTTGAGGAATGATCTGACACATTCAAACACACGGATTCATATCAGTCCTTCAGATGATTCATAAAACAACATGAAATCGAAAATCAAACCCGTTCATTTTCAATAATATATCAATACATTTAATATGATTAATTTAATAAATGTAATATATTTTAATCTATTTAATATATATATTTATCATATAATACTTATACATGTAAATCAAACTATATTATTTTTGAAATATGTAATTAATTACTGTAATAAATATATATATATATAAATAATACTTTTATTTTTTTAATGATCT